CAAAAATGTAGTTTATTTGTGCACCACTCAGCTGTAGATCCTCAAATTATCTCTGAAATTGTGCTGACACTGTCCTTTCTTCAAGAGGATGCCTACTTTTGTTCCCCATGGTCCCTGTGTGTGTTGTAAAGTAGTCACTGTTCCAAGCTCACTCCCGTGATGAACTACAATCTCAATACAAATTAGTAAACTAAATATGAGGTTGTAATCCATCATAGGAGCGGGCTTGGAGTGGTGACTATTTTACAACACACACAGAGACCATGGGGAACAAAAGTAGCCACCCTCCAGAAGGAAGGACAGTGTCAGCACCAATTCAGAGATGATTTGAGGATCTACAGCTGAGTGATACACAAATAAGACACATTTTTGGTAATAGTTCAGGTACTTGAATGCACTTTTAAGGTTTAACTCCTGAATTTAGTGTCACTTTCAGTATACATGGATCTATTTTATAAGTGATCCTTTGGTTGTCACTTTATCTAACTGGAATTCTATAATGCACATTTTATTGGTGCATATTAGTATTATGAAAAGAAACCAAGCCACATGGATTGTAAAACATGGGCAGGCCTTTGGCATTTAATGGGTTAATCTATGTACACCAATAAGATTACTAATATTTCAGTTACAACAACATGTTTGTGCAAGACTGGCATTCCTGCTTCTGACAACATAAGCTAGCACCAATGAGAGTTACTAAACTACATGTCTGACAACATAGTATGCAGCCAAGGTATACAAACAGTATCTTTGGAGACATAAAAACAATGTATTCAATAATACAGTGAGAGGACTAATCGTGATGTAAAGAAAACTGTAACCTACACAAACTTTCAGTATACTGTAGTCAGATCAGTAAAAGATTATTTCTAAATAGAAGATATGAGCAAAATCACTTTACTACATTAAAACTACATTTTACACTACATCAGAGAATAAGAGGGGTTGTCTTTATCTTCACCACCTTTCAGTCAAAAGGACCTTTGTACTGCATTCCAATTTCCCACCATCATGTATTTGTTATCATTTACATAAAATGTATAGCATGAATCCCTGAAAGTACCAGGGAAATTTGAGGCTTGTGACCCTGCAACCTTTTACTATTCTACATAAATAAAGCTAAGCAATGGGCACTTTTGAAGTGTAACCAAATAAATCTTTTACTGTTTTACATTGCATGTTTTTTTTTGCTAGTATTTTACTTACACCTTAAAAAAGGAAAATGCCACCACCTGCACCACATAAAAGTACCTGTCACTTGCCTTTCATCTGCTGCACAATTGTAGCATGCACACTGATTAAATAAAGGAAAAAGTATAAGTATTGTATGCAAATTTATTACATGGTACCACTGAAAGAGATTATAAATGCTTAGATCATAGTGATATATCAAACGGTCTTCTTGTAATTAAAGGAGAACTATGAGGTGAGTGCTTTTCACTCACCTCATAGTTCTAGCCAACCTGTGACAATGAGACTGTCACAGGTCGGCTCAGTAGATCGGGAGGTGAGCGAACATATTCCGGCGTTCGCTCACCTCTCGATCCTGTCACGGCTCTCTGCCGTGACATGGGAGGGGCTGGATTCCCCCCTTCCCACTCCGATCCGCCAGCGCTGACTGGCGGAACGGACGGGGAAGGGGGCGGGTACAGCTGGCTCTGCCTCTAGATAGGCAGAGCCAGCTGTCACTCACGCAGTTGGGCGGATCTCGACATCGATGTCGGGATCCGCTCCGGCTGCGGCGTCTCAGTATACCGTGAGCTGTAGCTCGCGGTATACTGAGCTTAGGGTAACGGGAGGACACTAGTTTGTGTCCTCCCGTTACCCTGAGGAGAACTATGGGGAAAAGCCCTGACTCCATAGTTCTCCTTTAAACATGTTTTCAATCTTATAATTAGTTAGTCAGGCTCCTTTAAGATGGCCTCACCGATCCCTCCCTCCACGTGCTCAGATGCATAATTACAGAGCAGGCCCGGTCTCTGTTCTTTGTTTACATCCTGCGCAGATGTCTACTTCTCCTGACCATGCCTGCACAGTACATCTATCTATGGTGTATCTGCATATAAGGCTCTGTTTCCTGGCTGGGAGAACGATAAAAGAAAAAGGAAAACCTCCACTTATAATAAAGTTGTCCTTTAGCTGTTCACCCAACCCAATGAATGGTGGCCACCTACCTATTACAACCCCTGCTCTCAAGATTTAATGGGTGGCCCTGCCCTGTATCATACAGCCTGTGCAGAAAAAGGTCCAGCCATGCCCAGATCCTACTGTGTATGTGCTGAACAATAAAGAACTCAGGAGTGAGGATAAAGTTATTAAGGTGGCTGACGTTCATTGGGGTATGGGGAATTTAAAGCACAACTTCAGAACTTATTTAAAGCCTGGCCAATCACAAAGCAAACAGTCCCAGGTTAAATTTTATGATTGGCCAGAGGGGAGGGGCGGAAATGTGACTGCAGCTCTGAGGTCGATGAGAGCTGCAGCCAGAGCAGGTGTATAGGGAAAACAGATGATCCCTGATGAACCACATTATCAAGCTTCTATTATGTTAATTAGCTTAATATTTCACATAAAGTGGACTTTTACCCCCTTTCACTGATATATCATCATCTTACATTCATTAGTTAAACACACATGTTTATCATTTACTTACAAATAGAGTTCATCTTCTTCCTGGTCCACTTCTGGCACAAATGATGTAATGTGCCCAAGTGTTGCATCTCGGGAAGGTTACATAGGTGGTGTATTGCTGACAAATCTCATCTGCAATATCCTGAGATCTCAGGGAAAGTCATTTTCCTCCCCTGAGATGATGTGCATGGTCACATGTCCTAGTCACATGTGCCACAGTTCCAGGAAGTGAAGTGAGATCTAGTAATCTGCCCTTAGTTAAAATGGCCGCTGTCAGAAGACTGGGAAAGAAAAGAGAAATAAGGTATGTAAAGAATACGACGCCTACAATTATCTAGAAGTATGTGTCTGTAAATTGTGATAGTAGAACGTTTAGGCCTTATAGAACAAGGTAGCAAGAGTTCAATGATACAAAGTCATAAACAAGTTTCCTGAACTTGGCTTGATTTTTTACTATCCTCTAATCTGGATATGAGGGACCAATGAGCAAAAGGTTCACCCTAATGCCAGCTGTCCTGTAACCTTGATACGAGGGGCTCTTATCAAGTCAAGAAGTCATATTTACTGATCTCGGCACAATCAAATACGGTTACAAGGTGGCATTACTATGTGATTTTCTTAGATAATTTACAGTAACACTTCAAAACGTGTTCAAAACCCTATAAAAAGAGGTCTGGAAGCTCATATCATTTGAATATGCCTGAGCTGCTGCATGTTCCCAGCTGGCCAGCTGAATAAATGTACTTTTGAAGCTATCCCGCCAGAGTGTTTGCTGATCTATTGAACACTTGGTGAGATTTCCCCTTCACACAGGCACAGAAATTTAGCGGGAGCTGGACCTCCACCCGCAGGTATACTAAAGATTTGCTGGGGGAAGGAGGAAGCTGGCATGTTCCTTTATAACAAAGGCAATGTTGAAACTACTGAACTCCTGTAAGATAATTGGAGTAGATATTGTAGATAAGTGCGGGCTGAACGAAAAAAATTGTCCCGATTCCTCCATCAGCACAAACGGCGTGTCGATCGAGGAATCCCGCGATTTACATTGTATTCTAACAGGTGCCCCCGGCACCTGCCAGAATACCCGATCAGAGCAGGCAGCTCATTGGCTGCCGGCTCTGATCGAAGATTTTCCAGCTGGCTCCTTCGATCACCTGATCAAGGAATGCCAGCTGAAAGGGAGACGAGAGCCCCAAACACTGTGCGAATTTCGAACACTACATCAAAAAACGCCCAAAATTCAACCAGTGTATGGGCACCTTTCGTGCCCTGCTCGAACCATCGCTCGATTTCTGCTCGAATACCCCATCATGCACAGACCAATGACGATTTCAATTAGCAAAACTAACCGACTAAATTTTCGTCCATCGTCAGAACAGATTTCCGTTTGCTCATGTGCATTGTTCAAGTTGCGATTTTTTTTTCGTACGAAAACAATATTACTTCATCGAGTTTCGTACGATTAAAAAAACGTTTTCCAGCCTGACCGATCGAGGAACTTCAGCCAGGAGTACAGTAAACAAAATTATTGGGTTCCCATCAACTGATCGATAATCGTTCGAAATACCATTCGTGGACGGTTTCCCAACGATAATCGAGAGGTGTATGGGCACCTTAAGGTGTGACTTCACGCGTTGCATTCTTGCACGTTTATGCACAGCTCTGTTTCAGCCAATGTTTTGGCATTTAGATGCGTAAATTCTTTCTAGTGGTTAGAATAAATATAACATGCATATAGCCACGCATGTCTATAACATGCATGTCTAAATGCTGTACGTTCATATACACAAAAGTAATTTTTATGCTGGATTTTTTTGTCAGAAAGATCCAGAGCAGACGGGGGAGCGTTTTAATACGTCTGTGTGCAGGAGCCTTAAGATGTCAATGAGATGATGAGATGCTGGGATGCAAGGTGTTGTGTGCACTCATGGATTGTGCCGCGCATATCTGATAACGGTGATGGACGTTCATTTCACAGTCTCTACCATTTTCCAATAGCAAAGCTAAGCCAACAAAGGTAGGTAAGTGCAGAGATTATGGGAGTACATTATTCACTGGCCTGAATAACTTGAATCTTGCCATTTGATTCAGTGAGTGTTGTAGTCTACTTCCACTTTAATTATTATTACTATTTTACAATCTGCACACCTTTGCAATACTTCCCTCCTGCCAACCATGCTCACTTCAATTCTGTAGTATTCTTATTATATACATTATATTATGTTAATATGTATAATTCAGCCGCACTTGTACTTTTCTGGAAGCTACCATACACAAGTACATGGCTCTCTTTAGATCAGTGAACGCTGGTTAACAAATCCCTAGAGCGAGTAGCGGCATTAGCGACTGTGTGCGGAAGCGAAGTGCCCTCAACAAAGATGGCGGCTCGCTGAACGGGCATTGTAAGGTTACCGGAAGTGCCCTTTTTGAAGCATGTCTGTGCCCTGCACTGTCACAGTGTTCGGGGTGCTTCACAACTGACCGAAAAGCGTTTATAAAAGCAACTGGATGTCGGAGTGACTGCGAGGAGAAGCCTGTTATAGCAATGTCCGTGCTCCTACGAGGCAGAATCCTCGTACAGGGTAAGGAGAGCATGATGGGGATGTGCAGTATTGGGACGCATACAGGAACTGGAGACTCCTACTGCTGACCTTCGCTGCTGAAAATACTAGTTTCATGGATGTCATGCTGATCTTCTGGCTTTATGGTTCTGAATGTCATGCTGATCCTCTGCCTTCAATACCTTGAATCTCTGTCTGTGAACAAGTATGTAGGTTGGGATTTCTAACTTTCCTTGTCTGCACACATGCCACAGATCATTGACTCAACAAGCACTGAAGTCAGGGACAGCCGTGCTGCTGGAACCTTCTGCAAGAGATCAGCGTGTATTTCCTTCACAATCCTGTGTGTGAATTAGTGGAACCTATAGTAAGGTCCCATTCACCTGGGGGTGTTTTTGATTTCCTGCAGCAAGAACCTACAGATCTCTGTGACAGGGTGTCCCCATTCAGATGCGGCCGCTGTACCCATTTAAGTAAATGACAAGATGACAGTGGTCAGTGGTAGTGTGCCTGTAAACATACATAGTACAATTACATGCAGTTTGGAATAGATGACTGTCCCTGGACACAGGATAGATGTGTTCAGTTATCTATTCCAAATCACATGTAATTATACCATGTATGTTTACATGCAGACTGCCACTGACAGATGCAGCCGCTGTCGCCCTGTAATTTACTTCAGTGGGTACAGCGGCCGCATCTGAACAGGACACGTGGCATTCCTGTAGGTACTTGTTGTTGGAATGACAGATCGCCCCGTGTGACTAGTGCCTAAATGTAATAATGTTACGATCATATCTCCTCTTCCAGATGTTCATTCACTTAGGTGTACAGGACCATACAATGTCATTGAGCCATTTGTTTATCTGGCTGGAAGGTGTCTGGGAGTGACGGATGTCTACGTTCCGCCATGACTGTCAGCCTGTAAAAATCAATGGTGAACTGAGAGATGCTGCGGCTGTACGAATGTTCCTGCACATGCCAGCTTGGACCTTCATACAGACACGATTGGATGTAGACAGTCTGTATTCATGGGCATACATTCATGTCCACGGAGGTCGACGCTGGCATGTGCCGGAGGATCCGTACAGCCGCAGCATCTCTCAGCTCGCCATCGATTTTTACAGGCTGACAGTAGCAGCGGAACGTAGACTATCACTCCCGGGCATCTCCCAGCCACACAAACCAACTTAAAGCGAGCGTAAAAAAAATCGTAACGGGGGCGGGGGGGGGGGGGGGAACCCGCTGGGAGGACAGTTTTTGGGCAGAAGAGACATGCAAAGACTTTTCTTCTCTCCCCCATCGCTTTTTTTTTAAGTGTACACTTTACGGTGCATTCACTGTACAGTGTACATGCTCAGCCCATTCACAGAATTTCTAAGTCTCCGTTTACACCTTTTGCGCTCTGTGAACGCTCACCAAAATGCCAACATTGACATGTGTTGACACATCGTGTCAAAAATGTGCTTGTGATGCCATTACTTGTTAGGGGCATCCCAAAAGT